TATGAACCGAACAAAATAGGTAAAAAGTACAAATTGGTGGTAAGAAGAGTTGAGTTCTTCACCTTGCATATGAGTTCAACAAATAATAGTTATTTTTTGTAGCATCATTTATTATTTATATATTTTTGCAAACAAATATTTCGAGAAGCCATGATAATCTTTTAATCTATTCAACCTTCGGTGAGTTGTTCCAATAAGTCTAACACTAGGAACCGGTTAGGATATCAGTATAAGACAAATCGGAACCGTAGCTTTAACTTTAATGGAAAGGTCAGAGACTGAAAGTAATTTTCAGCTTTCTAACAGCTGTTGAACAATATAGTGAATAAAATACTAATATAAATGCGAAATACAGACAGTCAATTCGGTACTGTACTGGAAGATTGACATACAGTTAGCCTAGTCAACTATAAACATTGGTAACACTATTAATGGAACATAAACAAATTTCAACCAACTGAAGTTCTCTCAAACTTGTGAATATCTTTTGAAATTTTATAGTTTTAAATACAGTAACGAGATTAAGTAGAACTAGTGATAGAATGAAGATTAGATTTATGAGATAGACATTGTTAGACTTACTTTTTCTTTTCCCAATTAATAATAAATACTGAGCAATGTACTTCATTTGAGTGTTATTAGTTTTAGATTTCGACTATCTCTAATATTTGCGATATTCTAAGCATAATAGTATCGTTATCGACAATAATATAGTAACATTTGCATAAATCTCAAAGCTTGTAATGATTACTATTGTCCTGGCGACTTTAAGATTGATTGATATCATACACACAACAGAAAGCAATAGGTATCAAAAAATGTTTGCCCTGTAGCATTTGTGATGGTAGTTCTACATGATTTCACTTACAATTCACTCATTTTTATTAGTCTCATTAATGCTACAATTCGATCATGTTAAAGTGTAACCAGATTAAAATGAGGTTGTATGATTTATTGACAGTGTATTCCAAGCATTCAACAGGAACATGATTACACATACACTGAGAAACTTGTTTTGATAATAATAATTTGTCATTTATTAAAGTAACTTTTAAACTTGGGGATTGTTACCGTGTGCGATAATTGTCAAAAACGGTCCTGGGTTTCATTCTCGAGTACGAGGTTGTGGATGCGCACTGTTGAGGAGTCCCTTTACTGAGACGAAATGGCCAGCCCGTGCTCCAGCTTTTCACTGATAATCTAACTAAGATTCGTTAGTAATATAAACTATGAAAATTCTATAAACTTCACTAATCCCCTGTATTAAAAATGTAGGTAAATTACTAAGTTGCACATTTGTTTCTCCCTAACATAAATAATTCTTTAAACAAAGGTGCAAACCGATTAACTGAAGAACAGCTAATTAAGCTAGTTAAGATTTTTCCTTTCATATATTTGGAACAATAAAATATACAAAATGAAAACTTTATGTTAGCAGGAATTTATTTATTATATTATAAAATATATTTATATGTAGGTTGATAAAACAGTAGGATTCAACTGTAATAAATCCCCAAACCATAAACTAAAAAGATTATCTGATACAATAGTGTACAAAACCTATGTACTGCAGTGTGAGTGAGATATTACTATAGTTTTTAACAGCAAATAACATGTTCCAACGAACTCAAGGTTTAATATATAACATCCACTTTAAAAAACATTATTGTCTTGTTTACAATTTGTACTCAGTAAATAGGCAGAAAAAAGTGCGAACAAATGCCAAATATGACATGTCTAACTTTTTGTGAAATGTTCTTTTTCTTTGGTATGAAAATTCTATTTGTTCCAGATCAAAAAATGACTCACTCTTGAAATTTTGAATGGCTCTTAATATCCTCAGGACAATCATATTAGTTAACAACAGCTATTGATCATGTATTCAAATATTCAGAATGCGCAAAGGATGGCACTGATGAGGACTTCTATGTTAAGGGCGAAACAAGTGTCTAATGGTCATTCTTTTTCAACAGTACTCTGGTTGATGTCAGTTTAAAATGAGAACTAGTAATAAGCCACTTACTACTCATATGACTGGAGTTATACGATCTCTAGATACTTTTTTACCAGGTACATGAAAATAGACCATACCACGTATGGTAACAATTTGAGAAATATCAAAGAAGGTGATAGTGAATAGCTACTATCTTCTCTCAGTGTCATGTCTACAAGGCCTATCAAAATAGTGGTTGTTAGGCAGTTTTGTACATAATTTTTGTGTCTATTATCAAAATTTTTATTTATAATCTGGCAGTTAATCTTACTTTTAACATTCGGATTAACATAATGTAGTACTGACATATTGTATGCCTTAGATATGTACATAGTCGGTCATATCTCAGTTCTGACGTTGACTAATAGCAAGTACTTATCACGACCAACCTGTATTTTTATTAGATAAAATGAACAAGTTTGTTTGTTGATAGGTCCAATAAATATTCGACTAATTTATATTCAGAGCATTTTTATCATTTTCAACTACTCAATAATCGTTTTTTTAAATCTATGTAGATGCCTTTATTCAGAGATGAGGGTTGATGTACAAATAGGAGTCTTGGTATCTTCAAGACTCGAACCTCTTGGTAAAATACAAGAGGTTCACCTATCTTAGCTACTGAACTGAACTGAGAGTCATGCCCATTATTCAAAAGATCTAAGTACCTATTCGATGATCTTGAGGTTACCAGTTTTAGATCCAACATATTTTTATCTTTTAGTTCGTCATAGTTTTGTCAAATGAGTCTGTTTAAGTATCACTTTAAAGTGATATGAAATGACTTACTTATTGCATTAAGGGGTTTGTCAAGGAAGTGGGCGTCTTTATGCAATGGAACCTGGATATTTGACGTCCTTAACGTCACTGTGTTTGGAAAAGATTATGTGTGTTGGAATAATACAAGTTCGAAGTGCCAAGATTATTTATTATCAATGTATGGTCATAAGATTCTAACCAACTTAGACTGTTGGTGGCTGCGTTTGTTATTCTGGTAGTGATCAGTCATTTGTTGGCAACTGTAATCATGTTGTTGTTGGACAAGAAATTGTCTGAACCAGTCTAGTGTACTTTACTAACTAGGATTGGGTGATACTGAGTATTATGACTATCCGGCTAGTTCCACTACATCAGTCATTGGGTTTTCTTGACAGGGTTTGTAAAGTTAATCTGAGGTGAATTTATTTTTCACCAATGACTACAATCAACTAGAAAACCCTTAAACTTTAGGAAGTGTTAAATATATGTTACAGCTTAAATTAGGACTTCTAAGTAGTGCTGAATTTTCCAACTGAACCGCGTGTACTCACTAGTGACCAACTGTAGGACAGATTTCTATACTTGGAGTAAAACCCAAAAATCTCAGCAAGCACCAAATGACAGTCATACAAAATTGTTGTAGATCACCAACGTAGATGATCTATGTCGAAAATGATTGGAGGCCTACTCGAATGGTGTGACAAACTAGCTAACGTCGAAGTCACACCTCGTGGTCAGCGCTTTATGTGGACTACCCCATTGACGTATCAAGGTACCATAGATGCTTTGAAGACTGTACAACACAGAGGACGTTATTACAGAAATATATTAGTTAAAGTAGATACAAGTGAAAGTAAGACCACTGCCGCATGGGCCACTCCATCGCATACGATTAACTGATGCGCGTTGGTCGTCCTTGACCTTGACGAGGATCGATGATTTGCTCGATATTCAATGACCCAACTGCCGGATGATTTGACTAGGGCTTAGTGACATTTCGCTGGCCCTACATTGTGAACAGACTAAATTCGATAATGTAAACTATTGTATTTTTAATGATTGATTTGAATTTATCATTCTTAGAGAGAAATTTCAAAGCCATAGATTTCTTCTGGCTTAAACTCATCAATTTCAAATTAGTCTATTATACTTTGGTATCTAACACTTATTCAATTGATGTCATTTTGTCATTAAAGAAATAAAGTTATCTACTTTATCTTACAATATCTTCTCCTTTTTAAATGATTTAGGATAAGCATATAAGGTCAAAAATTGAAAAAACATGCTCAACGATACACAATAAGTGGAATATGTGAAACATGATCAAAGGTGTATGTACATGCATATATTGTTTATACACTTATAGAATACATTTAATTCACTTCATTGTTATTTGTTAATTATTATAATCGAAACAACAACAACATCAACAACAACAACAAAAAAGAAGGAACACACTGAAATAAAGAAAACTCAATTTAATTAGCTATTTACATTTCTATCCCCCTATTTCTTGTTTTTTTTTTTTTTTTTTTTTTAATAATTTCTATATCCTACTTTAACCTTCATTTAGTATTTATGACTGGATAAAATTATTTGTATCTCGGGGGTAAAAAAAACAACAAAAAAGAATGATAACAAATCATCCATTTATTTTTGTAGAAGAATAGTATACTACTCCCAAATTCATTTGTATATATATATATATATATATATATATATATATATATATATATATATATATATATATATATATATATAATTTCGTTAATTTCACCATTGTGTTATTGTATTATTTCAAATCTGGTTGAAACTTATCATCCATATTGAGTTATTTGTATTCTAGGAAATATTATTGAATAGTTTGGACATTGGATTTAGATCATATTTAAACAAATTCTATGCCATTACACTACATTACATTACACTACATTAACCCTAAATCCATTAAATACTTCATTTGTTTTGATATCTTATGTATAGCTTAGATTTTCCATAACAGTGAATGTATCGTTATTATTATTATTATTATTAGTATTATTATTATTGATGAATATAGTATCGTACTTTATAAAATCCTACGTATATATTCATCCATATGAATATTCCATCATGAATATAATTGAATTAAACTAAACTGTACAAACAGTACTGAATGTTGATTATATATATCTTATTCAAGAATTGAAGAATCCATATTGTTAACAATATTGGAAAAAAGGATTATACTTTTCTTTCATAAAGTACAATGTATGGTTTATTGTTAGAAGGATTACGTAATTTTATTATTACTAAATGGTCTACAGAATTATGGATTGAAATATGTAATCAAGCTAATTCGCCTGAGATTCAATTTGAAACACGTAAAGTTTATGATGAAGCATTATTACCGAATTTATTTCAAACTAGTTCAAAATTATTAGATATACCTGAAGATGAAATTAAATTTGGTATGGGTATATCATTTGTTGAATATGTTGGTGGTAAAGGTTATCAAGGTATATTACGTGTACTTGGTAGAGAATTACGTGATTTTTTAAATGGTTTAGATAATCTTCATGAATTTCTAAGATCAAGTTATCCAAAAATTCGTCCACCATCATTTTTTTGTGTAAATGAAAGTAGAACAGGTATTACATTACAATATCGTTCACATCGTATTGGATTTGTACCATTTTTTTGTGGATGGATGACTGAATTATCAAGAGTTTTATATTCAAAAGAAATGAAAGTTGAAGTAAGTCATTTTATGAACGATAAAAACAATAACAGCTGAATAATTTATTTAAACTTAAATAACTTCTATTAATATACTGGTTTGTGTATATAAGTAACTGGAGTTTGTTAGTTTAAATCCAAGATTAACACTTTCAATTTCGATAATTTTCTTCACTTCGATTTAAAGTTAGTTTTTTTTGTCATGAGCTGACATCATTCCTGAAGTACCAGCTGTTTCTTTGTAATTTGGAACTTCTCAATCATTAACTCATCGAGTATTTAGCTGATAACTTTCAAGTATCACAGTTAGTGTGATAGCTTTACAGTACATTTTCAATATTTTTTTCCATTCTTTGGTATATTATGGTCCACATTTAGTAGTATCTGTTAGCGTTACAGTTTCACTTTAAACTTAGTTAACTTCATGTGTAATGACGTTCAGCTGGAATTTCATGAATTCTGTTACAAATTCAGTCAACAACGAATATTTGGTTATTATTCTTTTTATTTGAGGGGTGGGTTTCGTAAAAGTTCATAGTTTTCATCAAAGACTTAATTCATCTAAACAATTCCTAAAAATAACTTTCACAAACTTACTAGGATAATACGAAATTTCGTTTTCACTATCGCTTCTTGTTGTGGATGCGGAGGAATAGACCAATAATTATCATTTAAAGTCCAAGGACACCATTGGACTTAACATGATAATTATTGGTCTATTCCTCCGCATCCACAACATTTCTAAGCTCAATAAACTTATTATTTTGAAAAAAGTTCATATTTATTATTCATATAAAATAAAAAACAATATTGCGAACCTGATAGCACTGAATAGCTGTATATATATTGAATGTGGTATAAGGTGCTATCCGCGACTCAGATTTTGTCCCATTTGAGAATAATTAGTGGAATGTCTTCATGTCCTAATATTGATACTAACACTGAGACTCTCACTCATTACCATTAGCTTTGAACGTCAGAGTATTATCCACTGAGGTATTGAGTCCAGATAACTATTAATTTGTTTAATGGGTAGGAAGATATCAGTAAGGATTCGTATTATCTTGTTTTTGAAATTTAAAACTAAAGTAAATCAATTTTTCTTGGTATCTGATGTATATTGAGTTGAATATCTTGATAGAGCTTTTTAGTCATAAGTTCTAGTATGTATATGTGTGTTCGAAAGTATTTGGATGAGACTCTTGATATTATAGTGCTCAAAGTAAATTTTACCTTATTTTATGTATTTACAGTTAAAGAACGTGTTTTTTACTTCACAGCCATTTTTATTAGAGTTAAGTGGTTAGTCTAAACAATATCGATTATCGTGTGTAATTGTATAAACTAGTATTGTTTATGAATAAGAAATATTCACAAGATTAAAGTCGGTACTCTTCATAGATGAACTATGTAATGAATGAGAATTAGGAAGTATTGGAAAGCTGTTTTGTTCTAGCTTGAAGTCCTCAGTAGTGCGTGCTCACAACCTACTCAGGGTTTTTATGCTTCACGGTAGGCGTATATTTATACCACTAATCAATTTACTCTGAGTCTTTAAACATTGAATTGAAGTAACCCACTAAGCATGAAGTATTGATTACTACTAGTAGATGTTCATCACTCACGATGAAAAGCTACAAACTAATAATTTATTGTGGATTGGGTTTAGAAAAATGAGTCCACTATAATAATACTAACCTTGGATCATATCAATGAGTTGACAGAACTAAAAAAGCTTATTAACTAATCTATTATAAACGCAGATTCAAGTGTTTTGTTTCGTATACATACTGAACATCTTGAATAATACTCTGTAAAGTTTGAAACGGTTGCAATCTGACAAAATGACCATCTGTACACCGTTGCATTCAGAAGTCTCTTATCTTGTTTCCGTTTGTGATAAGATTATGATTATGAGTTATTGGAAATCATTTTATCAGTGTAACAGATTTAAGAAGTTATGCTACAACTAATATGACTAACAGCTAACCATTGTTGGTTTAATATATAGCAAAACCATTATTCATTCGTAAGTGGAAATAGCCAAGTGACTTTATATATGACAGAATATCTACTGTTATAGCACAGGCCGAGAAAAAATAGCAAATTACGTGGTAATAATGCTTTTTTCTAAGAAGTCTTCGAATCATGATAAAATAGCTGTTCTTCGTTCCATGATTTTTAATAATTCCCTGGTCGAAATCAGCTCCATGGTGATAGAACTAGTGTATAAATTGTTGACAAAATTGGATTAACATTTGGATAGAAAACTAGAGAAGATTTGTAGTCTAAGGTATTGCTCTTGGTGGTGATGAGGTTTTCGAGCTGGATGATTTAATTGTGCACATTTTGTTGTCGTTCTGAAAAAATATTGTCAGTGTCTACTTCAAGTAGAAGTAATTCTTCGGATTATTCTATAAACACTAAGTCAGTTCATTCTAATGGCTTTATTTCCAATTGCTATCTTCACCCTAACAGGATCGGTAGTTCTTAGAAAATAGTACATGAGACGTTTAGTCCGTTAAACAGTTGGTCATACTGTAACTTGATGTATTATCTTCTTTCAGAATAAAGGACTAGATCAGTACATTTTTGGCTAATATTCAGTGGTCATTCACAGTGATCATTTAGTAATGTGAATACAGTCACAGGTTTTTCGTGAATGTTCATCGACTAATTTTATACGTGTATGCTTAATTTAGTTGTGAAACATTATTTCTAGAAAAGATCAAACATGACATTAATCACTACTCAATGATGCATCGTTCATAATTTATGGCTGAAATAGCTCAGTGGTAGTGTTTCATATTGTGAGGTTAGTCTACTTAAAATTACAGATGGGACTTTTCGACAAATGTCAACTAGAATGAAACCTAGGTTCATAGTTTCCGATCGACTACGTCCAGCCAAATAACACCTGAATTTTCATTATGAAAAAAAGGTAAATGAATTCTCCTTGAACAGATAGACTCACTCGAAATATATGGAATAATCCATGATTTCAGTTTTAAGGGAAATCTTACATAAGTTTACTGGGAAGGAAATACAAATGTCTTATGAATGTCACTCAAACTAGAGAGATTTGTTTTCAGTAATCTTCTGTTTAATGAATTGATTGGGAACGTATTCTACAGATATATAATAATAAGATTTAATGCAACGGAATGAAGGACAATATATATATAATTCATTTTTTTCATATCTGATTCTATTTCCCGACATAATGTATTCTTTGGTCTTCCTCTTTTCTGCTTCCCTTCAGGATTCCAAGTTAGGGCTTGCTTTGTGATGCAGTTTGATGATTTGCGTGATGTATTTCCTATCCCTTTCCATTTTCTTTTCCTAATTTCCTCTTCAGATGGAAGTTGGTTTGTTCTCTTCCACAGTAGGCTGTTACCGATGGTATCCGGCCAATAGATGTTGATAATATTCACAAAGTCATGAAGCCTAGTGGATTGAAATTTTTCCATACTTGATTCAGGAAAAAACTAACCAGTATCAGCTGTCTTACTCTAATTCTTCACTTATGTTATTTCTAAACACTAAAATAAAATTACAAAAAAATTTTTTCAGAAAATTCTTAAAAGTATAAAATTAAGAAATGCAGCTGATTAAAATATAATCTAGAGGAGAATTGTAAAATAATTTCAAGTAAATATTGGTGCAAACGGGCACTGAATACATATGCGCCACACAAGGCACTTGGTTTGTGTGTGGGCTATGATACTGCACGGGTGCCCAGACCGAAGCAGGTGGTTTTCTTAGGAGGTCACACCTGGAGCCTTCAACCAAAAGGTCTGATCCATAAGGCAGTGAAGCAACGTAAGGAGATGCAGTCCTACGGTTGCCGGTGACCAAAAATTGGTCCATACGCCATTTGTGCACCATTGGTTTGGAGTCAGGGTTTTCCAACTCCCCTAGATGGGTCCTCCATAGCCACCAACCTAGTTAAAGCGCCGGACATTCGCTCTTTGTAAAAAACATCCCCTTAACGAGAAGGCAGTGAGTAGGACTTCCCTGGCAGTGGCTGTATACTCATGACCATATGAGAGCACTTCGAGAGGGAGAGCCGAATCTCCATACCCTCGGTCGTACCAGGGCATTATCAGTATAGGGTTGTGGAGATTGTTGAATTTAGATTGACATCATGAAGGGATGAATGTTATAGGAAGAATCCCATGCTAAGACAAAACGTCTGTCCAGTGCTTCCATGTTTTCAATGGTGGTCTAATATTCATCTATTCATGATATCAATCTAAAAATATTAGGGAAATATCAAAAGTTAAATAATGACACATTTTCATTCTATTTATCAGATAATAAACAACAGGGAGATGGCTTAAATTTATAGCAATTTTCAATATGTTACTTAATGATCAGAAGTTTACAGCTTCAAAAGTGATAAACTAAGAGATGATGATTACGTTTTATAAAGCACAGAAAACATTCAAATCAAGATGATTTAAGTATAAAAATAAATTATTCATTAAGTGATTGTTTATTTAGTCAGAACTGGTAGTCATTTAAACTACAATTTTATTATTAAATTAATTACGAAACCAAATAATTACTTGTGGAGAATATTGCTATATCCGGACAACAATAAATAAATGATAAACATTATGAATTATTTATGGATTAATATTATACGTACATTCTTACTGTATGACTATTAGGTGACTATGTTACATGTATATTCATACTCCTTTCATTATAAGCTCTTATTTGACCTATTGGTTATTGTTATATGACTTACTATTCTCAAGTTATTCTCAGTTTATTAGCCACAGTTCCTCAGTCCCAGTCATTTTTGGCTTGATCTTTTATAGATTTTTTTTATTTTATGGTGTGATGTGGTCTGATTTAGCTTGTTTGAAATATAGGATCGGTATTGAGTAGGCTGGGATTGGCGTTCTAAACTCAACAGGCAGGGCTAGGTAGAAAAAGGACCAGTCGGGACTCTAGGCTAATTGTATCATTAGTTTGGTCGTATAAGTCAGCGTATCTAAATTAGCAAAC